GTGGAGATGAACAAACGGTACGTGTTGTTTTCTGCACATTATGTGAGCAAGGTCAAATTGTCCGTCCATTTCGTCCAATTCCAAACCCTTGCTCAGTTGAGCTGCTTGCACACCTGGAATGTGTGCGTGTGCGCGTTGAATCAGGCGCTGCAAAAGGGAAGTCATCAGCTTGTGGTTCAAATGTGAAGGGTCGTATCGAACAACATCTCACACTCACTAATAAGTCGGTGAGCTTGTTGACTCAAACCGTGTGCACATGTTGTGTTTGTATGGTTGTGTGTAAAATTTCTCATAAGTGTTTCAGCTGGTGAAATATTTGGGGGAAATGTGGCTGGCGGCATCGGTTCGCGTGATTCTCACAGTTATTGCTTGCCATTCTAAACCAACTCTGAACATTTTTATGGGTTCCGGGCTTCCCCTTATGCTGCAACGTCTACTTGAGCACAGCGTGTGGTTCAAATGTGAAGGGTCGTATCGAACAACAGGCATCTCACACTAATAAGTCGGTGAGCTTGTTGACTCAAACCGTGTGCACATGTTGTGTTTGTATGGTTGTGTGTAAAATTTCTCATAAGTGTTTCAGCTGGTGAAATATTTGGGGGAAATGTGGCTGGCGGCATCGGTTCGCGTGATTCTCACAGTTATTGCTTGCCATTCTAAACCAACTCTGAACATTTTTATGGGTTCCGGGCTTCCCCTTATGCTGCAACGTCTACTTGAGCACAGCGTGTGGTTCAAATGTGAAGGGTCGTATCGAACAACAGGCATCTCACACTAATAAGTCGGTGAGCTTGTTGACTCAAACCGTGTGCACATGTTGTGTTTGTATGGTTGTGTGTAAAATTTCTCATAAGTGTTTCAGCTGGTGAAATATTTGGGGGAAATGTGGCTGGCGGCATCGGTTCGCGTGATTCTCACAGTTATTGCTTGCCATTCTAAACCAACTCTGAACATTTTTATGGGTTCCGGGCTTCCCCTTATGCTGCAACGTCTACTTGAGCACAGCGTGTGGTTCAAATGTGAAGGGTCGTATCGAACAACAGGCATCTCACACTAATAAGTCGGTGAGCTTGTTGACTCAAACCGTGTGCACATGTTGTGTTTGTATGGTTGTGTGTAAAATTTCTCATAAGTGTTTCAGCTGGTGAAATATTTGGGGGAAATGTGGCTGGCGGCATCGGTTCGCGTGATTCTCACAGTTATTGCTTGCCATTCTAAACCAACTCTGAACATTTTTATGGGTTCCGGGCTTCCCCTTATGCTGCAACGTCTACTTGAGCACAGCGTGTGGTTCAAATGTGAAGGGTCGTATCGAACAACAGGCATCTCACACTAATAAGTCGGTGAGCTTGTTGACTCAAACCGTGTGCACATGTTGTGTTTGTATGGTTGTGTGTAAAATTTCTCATAAGTGTTTCAGCTGGTGAAATATTTGGGGGAAATGTGGAACTTTACAAAGTGATGAATAAAATTATCTCACCACTCATTTCATCTGGCCTGCAACATGGCTTCATCCCAGCAAGTCACCAACTAGCCAAACGAATTCATGTTTATTCGAACTTGATCAGTGTTACAGCAGTCAAAACAGGCATCCAGCGTATAATTCAACATTTCTCAAAATCTTGACAGGATCCTACAGAGTGCGCGTGTTTACAGATGGGCACATTCAGGCATATATGCTCCTGCCACCCCAATCTTCACCGGCAAAATCTGCACAAATAGACTGTTTCATCCATTTTTGGCAATTAGACAATTTCAGTAAGACATTCAAACAATGTAGGTTATTGATATTGATTAAAGATGTGACAACCACTCAGCCCTATCTTAGACTGGCCCCATTAAGTGCTCAGCATATATGGTTACGTAAGCTTGATGTGGACTTTATTAAACCTAGCTTTACATCCGGTGCAATTCCATCATTACAAGAACAGCAGTAATAGGACCTACAAAGACCATTACCTTTCACAAATCTGCTGGTTCGCCCCTTAGGTTGTCGAGAAGATTGTCAGTATGGTTCAGCGAACAGGAGATTGGCTGCGAATTTCGGTTGTACAGGATTCGTCGACGGGGGCTGAAAAGAAAGTTTTAATAATAGGTGTCCCTTATCCTAGCCACAGGGTAGAAGAAGAGTGAGAGCTCCAAAGTGGGTTGGATATTGTGAGCTTGCTGGGAAATTCGTTAATTTAGTTTACTGAAAGTAGTTTAGACACAGAACTGTGGTTAGATGATGCATGAGTTGACCGGTGTGGACGGATTATAGTGTTGGGATTTGAGATGTGTGAAGCCAGGTGAATTATAGCTTGTGGGCCCCAAAGACACGTCCCGTTAGCCTTAGTCGTAAAAGTCTGCTTGTTTCAGATGCCCTATACTGAGAACCGACTTATGTTCTGCACACGAGAGGCAATGAGTTTTAGGCTTTACTTCGTTGATCTCCCCCAGGTAGCAACCTGTCTGGCTGCGAAAGACTAACTTAGCCCAACGATGAACATTGTTACACGGTATCCCCAGAGCAAAAGCAAACATCTCCAACACTCGGGGTGCAAAAGAGAAAAACTAAATAGTTCCCAAATTCAAACGCACAAACACCGGTCCGGTTTCTTTACAAAAGCGTCCAATTCCTCGCAAGGTTCCAGCAAGTTGAACTACAGGGACAACTCACACCTATATCTTAAAATAGATCGTTCCTACGGAACGACCTCTCAGTCAGATGCGCACGGGTTCTACACTGGAGGATTCGCTTCATAAGAAAACTTTCTTTTTACAAATGGCGATGAAACCAGGTTTGTGCTTGAAGGACACCACTATCTTTGGGGCTCAGCATTATCTAGGTGCCCGTACAAGTGGGATGCGAACTGAAAGCTTTCCTCTATGGATTATCAAGAACAATATATATGCTTACAGTAGAGTATCACGTGAACATGTAGGTAGTATAGCACGCTGCGCTGCTCACATGGCGTGAAACATCAGCTCTTAGAACGAACTTAAACCGAAATCATTCGCTAGCTAGCATACCTCACAAAATTGTCTCAATAGATTTCTCTCAGAATGTTTCTGCTACAACTGTGAAAATCAAACCGGTCACAGCCAAAAGGAAATATTTTAGTATCAGCCCTTCTTTGCACGGAGAAACTGAGCGGAGGCCATCTTCCTCAGCGTCTACATCATACGACCCGGTCATTCGTTTTAACCTCTTCACTTAATGCAAGTCGCGACAACTCAGCTAATGTGCATAGATCTTGAATCTAAACTGCCAGTACACGCTCTTAGTGTGCCGGTTCCCTGACTCACCTGCCGTCGAATAACAGAAAGCACGAGATCCAAGACGCGGCAGTTAAGCAAGAAATAAATGGACGTAACGCATTTGGGCTGACAACCGACTCATTGAGGTTAAAAGACTTGTGCTTAGGTGTTTGTCATGTAAGGCGATGTCAGTAAAGCCAGTCGATGGAAGTTTTACCAGCCTACGGAGTATACATGGTTACACGTTAGCCACTAATATTGTGGATATTTTGGTTCTTTTCCAGTACGCAACGGAGAACGGAAGAGGAAGACTCGTGAAATATTCCGTTTTGTTCGCTTCGGTGGTGCACCAAAACAAGTATAGAGTGATCAAGGAAGAAACCGCATTCGATCCCGTTATTAAAAAAATGTTATCCCACATGAAACTCAATCGCTCTCATTGCATTTACCGAGGAGGAGTATGGGATCAACGGATACGATCTATTCGCCGAATGCCGAACGCGGCCTTCCTCGAGTAGGCTCTGAACGACGAATCTGTGTCTGCCATGAAGCGTCATCCAAACAACCGTCTACGATGATCCAGGCTCATTAAACGTGCCGACCCCAAGTCACTGGTTATTATTACAGGGAGAGCTCGATCTGTCAGGTATGAGACCAATATACATGAGAGGTAAATCCAACGTTGGAAACAGGGAGGGTGTTGTCCCAAAATTTATGAAGCCCACGGTTCAAGGAGTATGCGACAAAACAGAATAGGAACATCGAGATTTTCGAGCTGAAGACATCTATTAAATACCCAGAAAGCATGCACGGAACGAAAAGTTAAACTGTATGAGATTCAAACATGCAGCAAACAGATTCAACAACCACGACAAGGTGAGCGAACTCTCCAGGATTACGCCTCAAGATATTGCACGATTGCAGTGACCAAGTTTACACGGATTGCTTCCTAAAGCTTATTACCAAGGAAACATTCGAACTTCCGTCTCAGTGGAGGTCTACTGATAGGTTGAACCATTTAAGACAACAATAAACACATCTCACTGACAGACACTCTAATTTAAAGTTTTCCAAAATGGTCCCGGCTTATAAAGATTCCCATATAAGTCAAAGACTTCGTAACATTTCGTCTACACTAAGCAGGATTGCGACAAGTATTATTCCACAACATATTCGCTGAAATTACATTGCGAATGAACGAAACCACCTCAGAGTAAACATGGTCGTTTTGACCACAAGAAGTTACCCAGTTATCGGACAGAGATCGATGAACCGAACATTGGGATCATAGGCTGCGATTGATTGAGAAAAAGCCAAGCCGATGGACATGAACACAAACAAACCAAAGACGATGTTGTCGCGAGCAGAATCAACAAGCGTGGTTCGCCGAAGAAACGAATTGGCATGCGTGTCCGAATATCGGTCGATTGTTCCCTGGCCCAATGGAAATTTGAGTGGAACAACCGGGTCCGAGGCTTCGCTTCCGCTTGCGCGTGGGAAACAGAAGTCCGGAGATATATCACAACGCCAACCGGGTGGACAGCAAAGCACCGTGGTGGTCCAAGGGCAACAGTTTCCCTGGAACAGAAGGCAGACGTGCCA